CAGGCGCTTCTCCAGCCGGGCGGGAGGCCAGGCGGTTCCTACAAACCCTCAGTACTGTGCCCTCGGCCGCCTGCCCCAGGCCCCGTGTGTGACTTCACTTTGCAAGTAGAGGCGGGTTAAGAGGATAGTGCAATGGACACGTTCCCCGTCTTATCGGCCCATCAGGAACCAGGGACTGGAGCGCCCGAGGCTTTCTCTTCCCTTCCTGGGTGTCGCTGCTGCAGAAGTTCCCAGCTCTTGGTCCCTGTTGGCTCCAGGGTCCACAGTACCATCGGGAGAGAAGGGGGTGGCTGGGTTTGGGCGAAGGCGCCCGTGAGCAGCCCAAGAAAGGGACCCTCGGGCCCACTCCCCAGAGCAAGGGCCGAAAAGGAGTGGAAATGGGCCTGCTCCAAGGGCTACTATTTTTAGTCCCCTCTTGCTCTGAGAAACTCCCCCCTCGGGCTTCTCACGCCCCAGGGGCAGCGGAGCTGGGCAACGGAGGAGCGTCACACACAAGGGCCTCCCGGGGAGCCCAAGTGGGCAGAGCCAGTGGCGGTCCCAGCGCCGTTAACCCTCGAATAGCCCCGCGAGCTCGGCAGTCCCCTTGACACCAGGTAGGGGGCTGAGCCTGGGCTGTCCCTATGAAAACTGAAGCTCAGAGTTCTGTTTTAAAAAAGAGAAGAGTGGTTGCAGGAGAGCTGTGGAGATGCCCAGGCAGCCAACTAGCATTTATAGCCTGGCTTCGGAGACACCCCCCCCCCANTTTTAAAAAATAAAAACTGAGGAAATGGAGGCACCAGGTCACACAGCTGGTGAGCAGAACTGGAATTTGAATGCAGGCAGATGTCTGGTTCTAGAGCCTCTTTGGTAACAGTTATAATGAAAGCACCAACACAAGCTTGCCCCTGGCAGGCCCTCTTTCTCCGACCCCACCCCCACCCCGCCCTCCTCCCCAGTCCTTTCAGCACTGCCTTCCCCCTTCACCCCAGGCCCTCTGGTACCTCCCATCTTTTCCCCTGCCCCCACCCCAGCCACAGTCTCACTTGTCTCCAGAAATCCCTCACCTAAAAATGGTGCAAAGAAAACCTCAGGAGCTGGGAGTAACCGCTCCCACTGGTATTCAGCAGGGGGCTTACTCCTTGGGGACTTGCAGCTCAGGGTCACATTGGTCCCCGCATGGGGCTCACCCAGGACATGGCAGGATGGAGGAGCTGGAGGAACTGGGAAAGGGGAGACAGGTTAAAAACTCACACCCAAGAGACCAACAGACACCTCCCCCCACACACCAGGTTCTACACACATGCCCTTTGTCACGCCATTTGCCCTTCCTCCAACCTGCACACTCAGCCACTGGGAGAGAGACCCGCCTGACCCCCATGGGTGGGGAGGTATTGGAAAATGTGCGCATCTTACCCAACACTTGGAGATGTAAAGTTTTGCTGGCGTGGCCCCTGCTTTTGCCTTGATGGTCTTGCACATTCACAGAACAGAGGTAGGACCCGGAGTCTTTCTCCTGCAGGCCCTGCAGCCGCAGGGACACATTCCGGGAGGGCATGGGGTAGACCAGGGATACTCCAGGTAGGCTTGATGTGTCCCCGCTGATGTGCGCCAACACCTGGTGTGGGCATAACACCTCCACATTATTACATGCCTGCACTGTGCCCACAGGCTCAGCCAATCCCCTCCCCAAGCTGTCANTCTCTTCATCTCCCACTTGGGGTGTTTGGAAAGTGCGAGATAATGTAAATAAGGGTTATGTATGAAAGGAACTTAGATTGCAGGGGTATAGCCAAGATTTAAAGAGATCTTTTATCTTTGTCTTGAAACTCCCCCCCCACACACATGCACCAAATGTATACATTCAGGCCCTACAAAACCAGGATCTACCCCTGCAACCTAAGTTTCTTTCATGCATACCCCTTATATATCAAATGACCTCTTAAAGACACTTTCTAGGGCTTCAGAGGGAGCCATGCAAGTAAGGGGCTCTGAAAAGTAAGTGTCCTTGGCCTCTGGGTGAATCTGCCTCCGACCTAAGTGTGATGTCAGGAAACTGGCTAGGCGGGGGATCGTGGGAGGCTGCCCCTTGCCTCTCAAGGTGGGTGTAAGAGGCAGCGGCCTGTGACTGTGCAAAGCACAGAGAATGTGGCAACAGGTTGATACTCAACTTTAAAAAGTTGTGTGACACTCGCCCTAACTCTTCCCTCCTCGCTCCCTCACCCCATACCCAGAGCAAAGTAAAACACTTCTCCGTGTTTTGTGTGCAGGGTTTCTAGGGAAAGCTGGCGAAAAAAGAATTCTTTCGGGACGCCTCCAAGAATTCTTTCGGGACCCGTGGGGAGGGCCTTGCTATTCCCGAAACGTTTTCCTGTCCCCCTTTCCCTGGCCCGTCACCTTCCCCCACCCCCACGGTGCCATCCGTTCCCTCCACCCCCACTGGGAGCAGCCGAGAGGCTTTCCTCCCTCACCTGCTTCATATCCTTCCCCTTCTGTTCCAAGAACCACATCAAGGTGAGCTTCTCCCACGGTCGCGCCGACGCCACCTCCCCTGGAAAGGTGTACCACACCGGGAGCACCACCTCCGCGCCCTCGGGGACGTGCAGGCTGGCGAAGCCCGAAGGCACGTGCAGCTGGAGCTGGGCGCACGCGGCGGGCGCTGGGGGCGAGAGCGAGGGGGTGAGCGCGGCCCTGCAGCCCCAGGCGGAGGGGGGGGGCGGCAGGACGCCCCGCCACCGGGAAGGACGGCCTCACCCTCCGAGTCCCGCCCCTGGAGGCCAGAAGGGGACCCGGAGACCGAACCTAGCGCCGGCCTTCAAAGTCATCCGCGCCTGTTCTCCCAAACCTCCGCTTTTGGGCTTGTAGGGGGAGGGGACACAATTATGTGCCGCTTATTTGTATCCAAGGGCGCAGATTTCCAGCGAGGAGGGAAGGGAAGACATCCAAGAGGAAGGGCAGGTTTAATGCTTTTGGTCTACATTCGGCGGAGCCCACTTGCTCCCCCAGTTTCCCTGGGCAGGAGTGAGGGTGGAGGGAGCTCCGAGCCTGGGCAGGATCTGAGCGTTCCTGGCCCCTGAGTTCCCCACCAGAGGGGTGGAGGGGCTGGGAGGCAGGGGTTACCGCAGCTCCTGCCGAAATCCCCAGAGCAGTCCCCCCCCCCATCCCTTTAGCCCTGACACTTGCTCTCCCTAGGAAAGCAGAGAGTTGGGACCTAGAAGGCTCCCACGGGCCCTTTTGGGGTCCAGACGATATGGGAGGGTCCTCTGAGTTCGCAGGGAATCTTGGCAGAGCTGGGGCACGAATGACGGTCCCCAACAATCAAGTACGAACTTGTGGCTGCGTGTGTCCGGCGTCCAGGAGGTGGACTGGGATGCTGGTTCAAGGAGGGGACTAGCGAATCCAGGCTGCGCCTAGGCGTCCAGGAGCACTCCCCGCCTGCCCTTTGGAGAGGCAGTGGGCAGAGTCCTAAGCCATTTGGGGGAATACCCTTGGGCTCCCCTCGGCGGGCCGCCCTAGGCCTGGGCACTCTGCACTGCCACCTCTGCGTGGTGACCAGGAGGCCAACGCAGGCACAGAGGCCGGACTCTCCGCCCTCCAAGGCCTCCCAGGCCAGGAGCACACCCGGCCAGGATGCGCACCACCCCCACTGCTCCCCGCGTCTTTACAGAGCCCCCACACCTAATCCTTAGCCTTCGCAGCACACCCCCCCTCCCATTTCCTGGCGGGTCCCTGCAGGCCTGGGCAGGAAACTTGTGCGGGGCGATAAGCTAGAAGACAA